CGTGGATTTGATCTCTTTTGGAAGAGCTTCGGGTACCATGTCTTCATCCATGTAGAACTTGGCGTCTGCGAAATGTGATTCGGCTTCAGTGAATGGTTTGGTGTCGCCATAGATCACCTTCACTTCTTCTCGGTAGAATTTTAAGCATTGGTGAAGGGTGGACGGTACTACTCCATTCGCATGGATCCAAGGCCTTCCTAAGAGTAAGCCGTAGGAAGTTCTTGCATCAATCACGTGGAATATCGTGCTCGACTTGAGTTCACCAATAGTCATCTCCACTCGGATCATACCCATCGCTCTTTGTCCTCCTTGATTAAAACCTTGGATTAGTAGACGACTTAGGGACAGGTCATCTGCCTTGATGCCGATTGTAGTCATTGTTGACTTTGGCATGATGTTTATGGCTGATCCACCATCCACAAGCATGCGGTTGACTTTGTGCCCCTTTACATACCCAGAGACGAAGAGAGAGGACGGTTGTGAGGCTTGGATCCTAGCAGCAAGTCTTCGTCGGTGAAATGGATTGCATCCTCGATAGCACAACATGTGGCACATTCATGTGGCCGAAGCTTCAAGCCTTCGTTCTTGCTTTCTTGCACTTCATGTTCATTGGGACTTTCCAAGACCGCTGCTAATGCTATTCGCGCATCTTCTTTGGTAATCGTAGCGCTTCCTCAATGCTAAAGTGTGTTGGCAGACCTTCTTCGAGCGGAAGAGTTTTTTCTCCCTCAGTGGTGATATCTTTGCCTTTTGGAGGTTCTTCCGTTTCTACTTCGACCATATGGCATGCAGCGATAGTGCACTGTTGGAAGAAGTCATTCGGGAAGTACTCGCGCAAGGAGACAGGAATGCGTGGCTCTTGCTCCATGGGTTCCCCAGCATACGTTGGCTTATTGACTTTTACGTTTCTTTTAGGCTTCCTACTGTTGCGGCGACGGTTTTTTCTCACTTGTTCCACCTTTGGTCTTGTGGCTTGTGGTTTTGGTTTCCTTGTTTTTTTGTAGGTCACCAATGTCCATCCTTCATCATCATCAGTATACGCATCTTGTTCGTTTGCCCCCGGCGATGGTTGAGTAGAAGGCGCCGTGTAGCTTGCACATTGATAAGAATGGTCGGGTGTCGTTTGGAGAGGCACGGGATCGAAGGATCCGAACGCCACCGTAGTAGTATGTGTTGCGGCTGTGTCCTCAAGGTCTAGCTCGATTCTCCCTTGTTGCGCTAGCTTCATAATGAGTTCTTTGAGGACGAAGCACTTGCCCACATGATGGCTTACGATACGATGGTACTTGCAGTACCTAGGATCGTTCGTTCGATTCATTTCTTCAGGGCGCTTGCACTCTGGTAACTCAATTACCTTCTTTTCCAGCAAGTCATCTAACATCGCATCCACGTCTGAGTCAGGAAAAGGTACGTCTTTTGCTCCAACTCTTTCAAGGTGTTTTTATACTTGTCTTGGGTGCGAGGAGGCTCACTTCTCTTTGTCTCCTTTGCCTTGGTCTTGGAGGAAATCTTGATAGGTGCAGAGGTGGTCTTGATAGGCGCAGATGGAGTTTTGATGGGGGTAGTGTTGACAGTAAAAGTTTCCTTGACAGGCTTTTTTCCAGTCTTGTCCACACTCGGGGCGAACACCTTATCCTTCTTGAAGTGGGTGATCGGCTCATTCTTTCCGTGATTGGCGATACTCAGCTCCATGTCGTGGGAACGCGTTGCCAGCTCCTCAAACGTTCTTGGTTTTATGCCTTGGAGAATGTAATGTAACCCCCAGTGCATGCCTTGAACACACATCTCAATGGCAGAGGTTTCAGAAAGCCGATCTTTGCAATCCAGACTTAATGAACGCCATCTATTGATGTAGTCGACGACGGGTTCCTCCTTCCATTGTTTCGTACTGGTCAGCTCCAGCATGCTTACGGTGCGGCGCGTGCTGTAGAAGCGGTTGAGGAATTCCTTTTCTAGCTGATCCCAACTGTTGATAGACTCGGGCTCGAGGTCGGTGTACCAGTCAAAGGCGTTGCTTTTTAGCGAGCGCACGAACTGCTTGACGAGGTAGTCTCCTTCTGTTCCAGCATTGTTGCAGGTTTCAATGAAGTGGGCGACATGTTGCTTCGGGTTCCCCTTTCCATCGAACTGCATAAACTTTGGTGGTTGATAACCCCTCGGCATCTTCAGAGCATCAATCTTCTTGGAGTAGGGCTTTGAGTATAGTACGGAATCATGTGAGCTTCCTTCATACTACGCCTTGATGGTGTTGGCGATCATCTCCTGCAGCTGCTGGATAGAGAGAGACCCCATGAGTGTCGCCGCTTGGTCCGGCTTCAGTGTCTCTTCGACGTTCTCCATTGGAGGTTCCTCATCCTCGTCGTTTTCCCTCTTTACTGGATTATCCCCTTGCCTGACTTTCTCATCGGGCTTTGCATCTAGTTGGTTAACGAGCGCTGCGATTTGCAGGTCTTTGTCCTCCACAGTCCTTGTGAGTTTTGCGATTGTTTCACTCATCTGAGCCAGCTGCTCCTCAATTGAAGTCGTTCCAGCCACCATGACTTGCATAGCTATGCCGCTGCTTGAGTCGGCATCAGAAAGTAAGGATTCAGAGTACTTCCTCTGGCTTTCCTCTCTTGGCGCCCTGAGCGAGGCCAGGGTGATCACCGGTTTGTGCCTCGGGTGCTCTTGTGCCTTTGGCGGAGTTGATGCAGGGGCGGAAGAGGCGGCAGAAAGAGCTTTTGCCTTGCTTCGAGTTATGATGCCTGAAGTGACGCCCCCTGTCGTGATGGCGCTCTTGTTTCTTGCATTGGCAGCGAGAACAACTTGGGCCTTCCTTGACGCCATTTGTGCTTGTTGCGGATTCAAAGATAGAGATGAGAGGTAGAGACGGTCCCACCGGGCGTGCCAAATTTGTAAACACGGAAAATTCCTGAAACGAATGAGACAAGAACACATGTACAAAATAATATTTGTATTAATGATTTAGGGGTTACAATCTCTTCTACGAATTTGTCTCTGATTCTATCTTTGAAACGTGTAGATGTAGTGTTGCTGATCCAGGGGCCGTCGAGGCTTGATCTTGGACGAACAGTTGATGAGTGATGAACACCTTCTTCAAGGGCCGTCGGGGCTTGATCTTGAATGGATGGAAGTTCTTCAAGGGGCGTTGGGGCTTGATCTTGAAGGAGGATTTCACGAAGAACGAAGAGGGCTTTCTTGATCCTTCGGGATTTGCTTGAGAGCTTCTAAGTTTCGAGGCTTCAAGGCTTTGGTGTGGTGTGACTTCTCTTCCAATTTGGGAGTAGAGAAAGTGTATGTAAAAATCCTCCCTTGATTCTTTGATGGAAGAGCCTATTTATAGGCTTTGGGAATGAACCACCACCATCCATTTGTTTTGGTGGATGTTGTAGGTGAATTGGTGGATTGTTGTAGGTAAATTTGGGTGGAGGTTGTAGGTGAATTTGGATGGATTGTTGTAGGTGAATTTGGGTGTATGTTGTAGGTGAATTTGGGTGGAGGTTGTAGGTGAATTTGGATGGATTGTTGTAGGTGAATTTGGGTGGATTGTTGTAGGTGAATTTGGGTGTATGTTGTAGGTGAATTTGGATGGATTGTTGTAGGTGAATTTGGGTGTATGTTGTAGTTTTAATGCAATGGTCAACATTTATTTCACTAAAATTTCAATGTTTACAAATGTAATTTTAATGCGATGGCTAACATTTATTTCAACGAAATTTCAATGTCTACAATTCTCTCTACACATTTTGCAGATTTTAGCTACTCAAAATCTGTGATTATGCCACTGATCTTCCCCTACTTCTCATGAACATATTTAACAGCTTTATTAGCTACAAGCAAATCATGTGATTATGCCACTGATCTTCCCCTTAGCAGCACTCTTTAGTTCAAAAGATTTATATGACTACTAGAATTTTGGAAGCGCGGGTGTCCATTTAGTATTTATTAGAGAATGTCTTGACATCTCAAATATCAATGGTTTTATTGAATCTCCGATAGACTTTCGAATTGATTGGAAGACCACAGGTTTCAAACCTCGATATGGAGAATCTTGAATATTTCGAGAACCATTGGCATCTCTAACAGAGAAGACAGATGTCAAGATGAGCATGAGCATAAGATTTCATTCTTGTTCAAGAAAAGGGCATTCTTAGTTCAATCATTGAATGGGAGCATGGATTTGGTTAATAACGATATGAGTGGATTGAAGACACTATTGTGTACAAGCCAAATGGATTCGTTTGCAAACTGTACAGCAAGCAAGCATTTTGGGCAAATGGCTGTTACAGACAAGTCAGTTGGAGCTTTTAGTTTCTACCAAACAAGAATTTCTTTATTTGCATACATCTAAGGAGTTGAATAGATTTACTGAATAAGAGATCTGAGAGATAAGCCTGAAGAAGCTGATGAAGAAAACTGATGTTATTTTTAGCAAATTTTTAGGCAAAGCATTCGTTTGGCTGCAAACTGTTACACTTAAGATCACTTTTTACTGTTTCCTTATTATTAGCTAACCTGATCTGCAAAACTTCTTGCCTGCCAGAAATGATTCTAGGACTTGGGATCCTGAAAGAGAATACTTGAAATCCTTCTTAGAAAGGCAAATTCTATTTTAGCTCTATTGGAAAAAATGGCTAGGGATTTCTTATTTTATCAATTGGTTTCTGATTCAATACTTTGTCTTTCTATTTATCAAGGACTGATCCCTCAATTGAATTCTCAATTCTTCTGTTGAATCTGAGCTTTCTCTATTTATTCTAAATTCTTTTGATTTCTTCTAATTGATTCTCATTTAATCTTCTGATAAGGTTTCAATCTTTGTGCATTTTTAGATCAACCTAAAATACCATGCCTGGTACCATTTCAAACATGGTATCAGAGCACTAGGTCTGATTCCGGAGAGGGGCGTAAAGCTGTGAGAAAGGTTCTTCCTGAAAAAGGTCCCAGAAGGGATAAAGGTGGTTCCTTTATTGGTTGATTCACTGATACTCACTAAGAAAATGGTGGGATCAGGTTCCTCGGGTGGAAATTTACGAACTCCACAGTTCGAATGTGCAAATTACGATTTTTGGGCTGTCAAAATGGAGACTATCTTCATAGCACATGATCTATGGGATGTGGTAGAACTCGGAGTGCAACTGCAGCGGATTTTCGAGGAGGAAGAAGTCTCTGGAGAGGAAGGAAGTGAGGCTGAGCAAGTTCTAGTGGAACCACCCAACATCTCCAGAGAAGACAGAATAAAAAACGCCAAGGCGCTGAGTCTCATACAAGGAGCTATAACATATGAGCTTTTCCCTCACATCAGAAATGAGAAGACTACAAAAGGGGCTTGGGACATCCTGAGAAGAGAGTTCAGAGGAGATAAAAAGGTAACAGCTGTAAAACTTCAAGTAGTTATGGCTGATTTTGAGTATATGAGAATGACATATAGTGAAAACCTAAATGACTAGTTGGGTAAGTTTTTTGGAATTGTGAATAATCTGAAGTCTCTTGGTGAAGATGTGTCTGAAAAAAGAATTGTGCAGAAATTATTGATGAGTCTAAGTAGGAGGTATAAGTCCATTGTGTCTATTACTGAGGAAACTCGAGATCTGGATGCTATTAGAGTTGAAGAGGTCATTGCATCTGTCAAAGTATATGATAAAAGGGAAGACTTGCATGATGAAAGGGATAAATTGACAGGGACTAAGAGGGCTTTTAGTAGTCTCAGAGTTGGAAATAATCAAGTCACTGGTACCTACAAAAGTCCACATAGTAGGCCAAATCAAAAGTGGCAGGGACAAAACAAGAAGGGATCAAATTGGCCCCCAAGTGGGAATTGGAACAACAATTATGGAGGAAATTGGAATAATAGATTCAATTTACAGAACAAGCAAGGGAGTAGTAGTCAAAGTTCTGTAAAACCACAATGTCAAGTGTGTCAGAAATATCATTTTGGTGTGTGCAGATACAAAGGAAAAGCCAAATGTCGAAAGTGCAATCGTTTTGGCCATACTGCAAAGGATTGTGATGGTCACAAGCAAGTTGCCCACTGTGCAAAGGAAGAAGAAGTAACCACAGGAACCATGTTCTATGCTTGTCACTCATCAATTATGCAAGATAGAAGTGTATGGTTTGTGGACAGCGCTTGCAGCAACAACATGACATCACAAGATTTGCTTTAATAAACCTTGACAAATTTGTGACCTGTAAAGTTAAAATGGGCACTGGTGATCTTGTACAAGCAACAAGAAAAGGCACTCTAGTGGTTGAAACTTAGCGTGGGAAAAGATATATAAATGAAGTGTTGCTGGTTCTAGGTTTGGATGAAAACTTACTGAGTGTAGGCCAAATGATGGAGCACGGATACTATGTTCTATATGGGGGAAATATGGCAGTGATCTTTGATGATAGCAATCTTAACAATGTTGTAGCAAAAGTGATCATGGCAAGAAATCGATGTTTTCCCCTTTCACTAGAGTCTATAACTCCTGCAGTAAGAAAAGCATCTATGGTTGAAGATTCATGGATATGGCACAGAAGGCTTGGACATTTGAACTTCACTAGCATGAAAAAGATGCAACAGAAGGAAATGGTACTTGGACTACCTGTTTTGACAGAAATGAGAGATGTGTGTGAAGGTTGTGTATCAGGCAAGCATCACAGAGAACCATTTGACAAAGAAAAAGTGTGGAGAGCAAGCTGTCCACTTGAATTGGTGCACACAGATTTGTGTGGACCAATGCAAAACGAGTCCATTGGAGGGAATAGGTACTTCATCACATTCATTGATGATTTCTCAAGAATGTGTTGGGTATACTTTCTTAGAAACAAATCTGATACCTTCAATGTGTTCAAAAAATTCAAAGCTTTTGTTGAACTGCAAAGTGGGTTTAGTTTAAAGAAGCTAAGGAGTGATAGAGGTGGAGAATACACCTCACATGAGTTTTTAGACTACTGTGCAAGCATGGGAATGGAGAGGCAACTGACTATTGCCTACTCTCCTCAGCAAAATAGAGTTGCTGAGAGAATAAATAGATCAATTAGTGAGATGGCAAGGTCCATGATGATTGAGAAAGAAATCCCTGTGATTTTCTGGGCAGAAGCTGTAAGCACAGCAGTGTATTTTCAAAATAGATGTTTTACAACATCTATCCTAGATAAAACACCTTTTGAAGCATTCACAGGTAGGAAGCCTGGAATCAAGCACCTGAAAGTATTTGGTTGTAACTGCTATACTATACTCATGTCCCGTCACATTTGAGGAACAAATTTGATGAAAAATCCAGGAAATGAGTTTTCATGGGATATGGAAGATGTGAAAAGGGATATAGAGTGTATGATCTGCAATCTAAGAAGATAGTACTCTCAAGAAGTGTAATTTTCAATGAAAACCAGTCATGGAATTGGAAAAGCGACCAAGTGGAGTCTATTTCAATACCTTTCAATCTTGAAGGAAATGACTCTGAAGAAGAAGTTAGAGAGGAACAAACTGATGAAATCCAGTTTAACAATGCTGAAGGTTCTCATTCAAACACTATTGTTGATGAGTCAGTTGAAGATATTGGTGGAAGTCACAGTCAAGGCTCCACACCTAGCTCCGCACCAGTGAAGTTGAGAACTCTACAATATATATATATATATATATATATATATATATATGCAAGGTGTCACATGTGCATTATAGAACCAGAGAACTATCAAGAAGCAGCAAGTGATATAGCTTGGCAAGAAGCTATGAATGCAGAGTTGGAAATGATTGAGAAGAACAATACTTGGGAACTTGTTGAGATACCTGTTGATAAACCTGTTATGGGTGTGAAATGGGTGTTTAAGACTAAGTTTAACCTGGATGGAACAGTTCAAAAACACAAAGCCAGACTTGTAGCCAAGGGGTATGCACAGAAACCTGGGATTGACTACAATGAAACCTTTGCACCTGTGGCAAGGTTAGACACAATTCGAACTCTCATTGCTCTAGAGGCACAAAAGGGTTGGAAGTTATTTCAATTGGATGTTAAATCAGCATTCCTGAATGGTGTGCTTGATGAAGAGGTGTACGTTGAGCAGCTTAAAGGTTTTGAGGTAAAAAATGCAGGTCACAAGGTCTATAAGTTAAGAAAGGCTTTATTTGGACTTAAACAAGCACCTAGGGCCTGGTACAGTGAGATTGATGCTTATCTCTCTCTGTGTAAGTTCAAAAGAAGCACAAGTGAAGCCATACTATATACAAGATCTGATGATGAAGGAGGTTTGATAATTGTCTCAATATATGTTGATGACATTATCTATACTGGAAGCAGTAACAAGATGCTTAGTGTATTCATAAGGGAGATAATGCAAAAATATGAAATGTCTGATCTTGGTCTCCTACACCACTTCCTTGGCATGGGGATATTACAAACTGATCAAGGTGTTTTCATTCACCAAAGTAAGTATGCCAAGTCACTACTTGAAAAATTTGGGCTTGAAGATTGCAAACCTGTGTCTATTCCCTTACCTACTGGTGAAAAACTTAAAAAATCGGATGAGAGTGAATTGGCAGATGAAGGGCTTTACAGGAAAATAATGGGAAGCTTGCTGTATTTAACAGCAACTAGACCTGATCTGATGTATGCTGCAAGTTTGTTATCAAGGTTTATGAATGGTCCGACTAAGAAGCATCTGGGAGTAGCAAGAGAGTACTGAGATATGTGAAAGGGACCCTAAACTATGGCATAGAGTATGTGAAAGATAAGTTTGCAATCCTCATTGGGTTCTGTGATGCAGATTGGGCCGGTAGTGAAGATGATAGCAGAAGCACCTCAGGTTATGCGTTCAGCTTTGGCAGTGGGGCATTTTCTTGGGCTTCTGTGAAACAAAACACAGTTGCACTGTCAACCGCTGAAGCTGAGTATGTTTCAGCAGCTGAGGCAACAACACAGTCAATTTGGTTAAGGTTTGTTCTTGATGATTTTGGGGAAATGCAAACTGAGGCAACACCTTTATTTTGTGACAATATGTCAGCAATTTCTATGGTAAAAAATCCTGTCTTTCATCAGAGAACTAGACACATAAACAGGAGGTATCACTTCATAAGGGAAGCTCTGCAAGAAGGTGTGATCAATTTGCAGTTCTGCAGAAGTGAAGAACAACTTGCAGACATATTTACAAAAGCTTTGCCAAAAGATAGATTTAATCAGTTGAGATTGAGACTTGGAGTTAAGCCAGTAAGCAGCTTAGGAGAGGCTGTTGAGATTTAAGCTGCATACTAGCTTAACATCGATCTGCAAATGATAATCCTGCAGAAAGAAGCTGAAGAGAATACTGAAATCGAAGAGATGAAGAACTTGCTATTTTTAGCAAGTAGCTGTTAGGTTCAAATATGTAACGGCTAGTTTACATTCTATTATTAGAAACCTGCACAGCTGTTATTCTTATCTGTCTAGGTTGTACTGTGTTATTCGATCCTCTCCCAAGTGGAAGGATCGTAGCCTCCGATGGCCTGAATGGCTAGAGATCAGTCCTTGCTCCCTGAAAAATAGGATCTGAGCATTTGACTGATTTAGAGATATAAGCTTGTAAATTCCCTCTTTTGATTTCAATTAAGAACTCTGAACATTCTCTATTCTCTGAGCTCATTCTCTCTCTGCAATATTCTGTCATAAAGTTTCAATCTTTGTGCATTTTTAAATCAACCTAAAATACCATGCCTGGTACCATTTCAAATAGAATCACTGGCTCAACTTTTGACAATAATGGAACGAGACATGCAGCTGATGAACTACTTAACAAAAGAGACCTCCACAACTTGCGAGTTGCAGTTCATGCCAACGTAGAGAAGATCCTCTTCTCTTCTAGTGAATCAAGTACGTTGCATCTATGATTTAAAACAACTCCTAGTTTCTCGTGCTGCAGTTTAAAATTAATAATTTATGCTTTAAATTAACGGAATGAAGGTAAGGGAAAATACTTGAGGTGAGAATAATTAAGCTGCCCTATTTTGGTTATATTTATATGTTATTAATTTTGCGCTATTTTATAATGCAGTTTTGTCAGCAACAGGAGTCATATATAAGGATTCTAACGGAATTTCTCATCGAGCGTATGTACGTGATCAAGGAGAAGTTATGTGCAGGGACAATGGGGACCCCACAATCTTGGAATCCTAGTTGTACTTGACCATCCATACGTTGGGCAGTTTCTGTACGACAATCCTCGTAATTTCATTAACATTTTGCCCCCAAATCCAATCGAAGCCTCAATCGTAACAGTTCTAGGCATTAGAAAAGATTTCTGGCAATGTTCTCTCTCCGGCGGACCACTTACTTCTCCGTCCTATAGTTTATTTCCTAGTGAGTCTCACCCCCTGCCAGTAAATTCAACTTTCGCTCACATTCCTAACAAAGTTCCTGGACCTTATTCTCATGGCTCTCTCACGCTAAATTCATCTTCTGATGTGACAATGGCCCCAATGTTAGATTCAATTACTTTTCAATTGCGACGGACCTTGCTCATTGTGTTAGCGGCATGAAACAAATTGGTGATTTATTTAGGACTAACGCATTTAAACCATATAAAACCCAAGATTTGCCAGGTATACAAGGTTTTACTTTTTTAGGAGTACCTCTGCCAAATAATCAAACAGATGATGCACTCGAAACATTTTGTCGAGATTCTTTGGGCTCATATTGGCATTACCACGGTGGATGCATTGATGGAAAGGTGGTTGATGGTGGTTTGCGTGTTAATGGAATTGATGCATTACGCATTGTTGATTCTTCCACATTCCCTGTCACACGGGCGAGCCACCCTATGGGCTTCTATCTGATGTTAGGCAGGTATGTGATGTATACTTGCAACAGATTGAAATTTTCAAAATTTATTTGGTTGTATGAATTGCTCTTTTTCGTTCCTTTCAACTTTTGTGTTTTGGTCAGGTATATGGGTCTTCAAATTCTGCAAGAGAGATCAGCTTGGGTTGGTATATCATCCGCGTTATCCAACATTTCCAACGATATTATCCTTAATGATGCACTATCTTTTACTTCTCAATGCTTGATAATAAACCCCATTGTACATTGGGGATTAAGGTTTGGCTGCAAGAAGGGGACATGCTCTTTCTATGCCCCAGGCTTTCTGGTACCTCTTTATTTCATGTATAATATATTTCCTTAATTATGCACTACCTTTTACTTTTCAATGC